GAAAAGTTATTAATTTAAATAATATTACATTTAATTTGAAGTGCTTAGGGAGTGACAATTTCTGGGCATCCCATGTCTCACTTATGTTTGTACTTCTATACAATTGGTATTGTCATTAGTTGACATATTTAAAGTTAACAAAGTGGTTAATAGTAATTTTTTTTAATAAACCCTTAATATTTGAAAATTATATTAAATCTTAACTAATTTGAAGTCGAATCAAATTAAATTTTATAAAAGTTAAAATTCTTTCAATGCAAGCCTTTTTAACATTTATACCTCTATTAAAATAATTCAAACTCAAGATTTTATTTTTTTTAAAAAATTAAATTTTTTTCACTCAAACTAATAAATTGTTAATAATAATAATCTATTTCTAATGAAATAGATATTGAGTTTGACTAGCATAACAAACAATAAGGTAAATTGAATGATTTGAGAAAACTATCACTTATTATGCAATCAACAATAAACAAAAATGTAAAATTTGACATTCTAAAAGTCCAACAATAAAATTACCATTTTAAAAGGTACCAACAGCTGCATCAGGTAAGGTTGTCATAAATTTATCGACACCCATATGATAAAGCACAATTGTTTGTGAACAAGCAAGCAGGATGTTGGTCATCCTTCCTTCCCATCCCTGAGAACATGGGTAAGACAAGTGAGGCAACGTTCGATTCTACAAAGGCAAATTTTATTATTTTAACTCTTATCAAGCCATATGCCTTCAACTTCTTCTAAAATATAGAAAGTTTCTCAACGGAAATAGCAGCTAAGAAAATTCAGTATACGTTTCACAATTCAAATTATGGCATGCATCGCATTCCATCCCATTGCCAATTTTCCACACCCGATAACAAGCCTTCTATCCATAACTGCTAGAGTATAAAATAAGGCATTTCTTTTCCTTCAACTCTTGAAACTACTTTTTATAGAAGTTATAATCTCAGAATTTGCAGACTGTCACTATGCAATACGGGGCATCCCTTACCAGCAACATCTTCATCACTGGAACAGTTTTGATTTCTAATTTCCATCCAGAGCAAATCAATAACAGAAATTGACAAGGTTCTATGCCTGAAGGTCCTTATTTGAATTCCATACAGGACCTTTTTGAACACCATCACTCAAGATCCCAGGACTGTTTTCCACACTAATCAAAGGATCAGATTCACTTTCCTTCACCTGAATTCATTCATGTAATCGAAGATCAGAGAGGTATGTATATCATGGGAAATATATCAGAGAGGCACACAGGTATAACCAAACAAAGGGGAGGGGAAAAAGAACCTATCAAGTTTAACAGGAACTACCTGAGGCAACTGTGCAGATACTTCACTAGCCTTCTGCTGCTGGCTCTCAATGGTGCAACAATATGAATAAAGGACCATACCAATTACAGCAATCAAAATCCCTAGTATGTTGCGCCAACTAAATGGGTCATGGAGTAGAACATAGCCAAAGGCCAAAACAAGGCATGTTTTCAGATGTCCTAGGACCTGATAGGTGACTGGAGATGTCTTTCCAATTACCAAAAATGTACTGAAGTTCACGGAGACAGATATCAGACAGGATAGAACAATGAAAAACTGCAAACAAGATGATTCAAGCAAAAGTGAAATTATTAGAACAATCAAGGTAATCAAAGAAAAAGAAGATAGATAATTCAAATCATTTTAAGTCTCACCAGCACTTGGGGAGTGTAGTTGAAAGCGAAAACATTTAGTTTAGTTAAAAGCCCATCAAGAAATGGCCCAATAATGAACAGGGTTATCGCTTGATAGGGGCAAGACTGGTAAAGAAGCTGGGTGGAAGAAACTTTGAACTTTTTCTGGATGGTATTGGTCATCTGAGAGAAACTGATTAAGGTTTAGACATCAAAAGGAAATTTCTACCAAACTTAGGAGAAAACAACTCAATTAAAATCATCAAAGATAGAATAATAGAATAATTTGAGCAAAGGGGAAAAAAAATAAAAGGTAACAGAAACATGTAATGAAATGAGAAAAAGGTCAATTCAACAAAGGATACAATTTGAGCCACACAGGTTGTCACAATTGCCAGCAAAGATAAGACTGCACCCAAGACATTGAGCTGAAGATCAGTCACGGTTGCAATTCCAACACCCACAAGAAGGATACCTAATGAAAGCTGGATATTCCTACTGCATTAGATTGGAGATGTGTCAAAAGGGAACCATAGCCAAAACCCAAAAAATTAAGATAAGTAGTAGATAGAAAATATATATATATATATATATATATATATGCACAATTGGATATAATGAATGGATTGGAAATGCATGAAAATTTTGTATCTGAAAATAACAAGTTAATATCAACTGTCAACTGGAGAAATAGATAAGGTCAGTAGCTTTAGGAACTAAAAAAAATTAGAGCATACAGGTCAATTAACTTAAAACAACTACTAGGGATAGAAACAAGTTTAAATTTAAACTTACAAGCATGATACGTAACTTAAGAACTATTCATGTCAAAATATTAAATGTAACAAAAAATAATATCTTGCCAAAAAATAAAAGAAAAAATTACTAATGCAATGGTTTAGAACCTTTCAAACGGAAGAAACCAAACAAGGACCTCACATGCTTGTGCTGCTTGTCCCACATGGACATTTGAGTGTCTATAGCTACAAATCTTTCCAAACCAACAAATGCAGCATAAAATGGTTATGAACTCCACAAGAAAAATGGGCAATTTGGATATTTTACTAATGCACATCCAAGGCCTAAATCCTAGTCCATACACTTGCCAACTCAAAACATTAAAGGTTAAACAAGGCACATGATATTGGTTACTGGTTCCTACAAAATTTGTACAACTAGCCTCAAAGAATTCATTCCCATGGCTAACCTCCAAGTAGCTACAGTTATACAGGGCCAGAATCACTGAAGGATGAAAGGAGGTACATAAGACAAACTAAGAGAATACCATGCTTAGGACTGACCTGAATTTTTTCCTGAAGAAAAGGGTCTCCAAAAGAACAGTGCAGGGGATGATTGCCAGTTTTGTCATCTAATAGGTGGAAGGAACAAAAGGAGACAAGTTTTCATAAACTTCAAACTGAATGCAAGATCATAACTGTGGCCAGAAAAGTAAAGCTTTACCTGGTAGAAACCAACAGAATTAAAACCCAAGCTAAGATTCAAGAGTCCAATAGATATTCCATTCAAGATGCCAAATCCCATGACAGCTCTTGCATCAAAAGGCTTGTGTTCAAACAATTTCATCCATAATGCCACATGAAGCGAACAAAATGTGACAAGAAGATGCCAGCTTGTCAAAGTTGTGGCTGTGCAACCCAGACCATTAGTTAGCAATGGACAACCAAGTAATTAACTAAAGAGACATAAATATTATTAACACATTTTTCCATTTCCAGTTTATGACATGAATTAAAATGGATTCATAATTTTCATCAATCACATGATAATGTAGCATATCATCAAATCAGAAAGTGGCAACTTCAAGGAAGCAATACAGTTAAAACCCATTCTAATTGATCAATCCATCAATGAACTGACTGCAATAGAATGTCCATATCAAATCTAAAGAGGCATATCAATAGACTAATAAGAATCTTATCATCTCCTAGCAACTTATCAAACAGGTCCTTTATCTGACCTATAATTCTAGAACAACCACATGGCAGCAATTCTACTTAGCAGTTATTCCCTTTAAATTTGAAAGGGAAAAAGAAGAGAGAATTGAAATGAAGTAGCTGGTGCAAATACTTGATATTAATCATACAATGGCTCAATTAAAACAAAGTATCAATCACCAACCAATCTTGAAAGCGAAAAGGATGCTAGTATAGTAAAATAACATGCTCTAGAATATCTGCAGAGAGATTGAAAGGAAAAAAAACTTTTAAGCAGCCTAATTAAAAAAAATTAAGACAAAATTGAAGATCTTACATGACAAGCTAGGAATAGATAAGCCTTTTAAGGAATGATCATTTTCGACTTTGGATTATGGAATTATATTTTCTATTTCTAATAGTTTGATCAAGGAATAGCCATTCCTCCAGCTAAAGGAGTTTGTGATGGGTTAAATTAAAACTGAGGCAATCATATCACATTCCTCCAACTAAACTAGATTGGCCTTCAATGTTAGGTAGTTTGTAATTAAATAACAAGAAGTGGATCGTTGGTAATTAAGTTCGAAAGCGAAATCGAAGATAGATACCAAACATGAAATATGAAATAAATTTAACAGAAATTGAAGATAGATACCAAAAGTGAAACCGAGAGTGCTAATAAGAGCCTTGTTGCAGATAACGATGGAGACGGATGAGACGACCGACAAACTCAAGGCACCTATGGTCCCTAGCTGGAACCTCTGGTTCTCGCTCATCTTCTTACTCCCTCCTGCTCGATCTGGATCTACACGCACAATGATAAATAACTAAAAATAAGTTAACCAGCACAATTTTGAATGATCAAAGTTCCAATTCAATTAGCTCAGCTCAGCTCAACTGCACCAAACCAATTGATGCAGATGGAATCAAGATCTATTCAGCATACCAGAACCCTAGATCTATCTGTTACCTTGATTTGAGAACAGAGAGAGCGAGCTATTGGAATCTGAAAAAGAAATCTCTCAAACAGAGACAGTTGCATATATTTCTGTCTTCCGATATGAAATGTAAATGGAAATGGTATTAGTTTTGAAAAAATTCAACGGACTTGAGAGTTGCGAGTCGGGAGAGAGAAAAATTAAAAAACACAAAAATGGAAGGATTCCCATTTAGATTACCTCATATTAAATTGTAAAATATCTGTAAACCATAGATTATTAGACAGAGGTTAAAGGAGAGCTTTCAATAGGAATATTAAGAGATTTTAATTTTTATTTAATTGTTAATGTTGTTAATTTAATATAAATTTTTTGGTATTAACCTCTTGCGAGATTTTATTTAAAAGTAACTAAATTTTTTTCGCTCGGATTAATAGACCATTAGTGTTAATTTAATATAATTTAAATTATATAATACTTATTTTTTTAAAAAGCAAAGAAAGAGCCAAGAGAGTTACGAGTTTTTTTTTTTTTTTTACATGGGATAACCTTCTTACTTGGCTTTAAATGAGTTGATTAGTATAGTTATAATATCATGTAAGATTATAACATGTAAAATGCAAAGAAAGAGCCAAGAGAGTTACTTTTTTTTTTTTTTTTACATGGGATAACCTTCTTACTTGGCTTTAAATGAGTTGATTAGTATAGTTATAATATCATATAAGATTATAACATGTAAAATTTTATGTGATATTTAATAAAATATAACATGTTATTAAATAAATAGATATATATAATATTATAAATAAATTTTAAATAATACAAATTGATTATATAATAATATATCATATTATAAGTTTACAATATTATGTGCAATTGTAATTATAACATTTTAATAAATAAATGTAACTAAGAAAAAAAAAAAAACCTAGACTAACAAGGCATACCATAAAACAATTTTAAAACTAAGAACTACCAAATTATGAAGGTCATAGTCTTAAGAGAATAGTAAATATTAATCTCAATTTTCATTAAAAAAATAAAATTTTAACTTAAAAAACATTATTTTTTAACTAATATTTTTAAAAATTAATTGTTAAATTTAATATTTTATTAATATAGAGATTATACATGTTAAATTTTAAATTAGTTTAACATATATAATCACTCAACTAATAAACTTATATTTTATAATATATTTAATGATAATATATTTTCTATGATCAATGAATTAATTATATATATTCAATCAATTTAAAAATTCATATACATAATTTACATAAATAAAATATTAAGTTTAATAATTAATTTTAAAAATATTTAAAGGTGATGTTTAAATTTTTTAAAAATTACGAATGTCCTTGATTATTCTAAATCTTCTTTTACGGAAAAAGCAAATATACACAAGCATAAAAGGTCGTCCGGGAACCAAACTGGGCCCGGTTACAATGCAAAAAAAATAACACCTTTTCCTTTTGAAGGTTTTATTTTCATTATTACAGAAAATAAGGATTAATTGAAATTCCAATATGCTAGGTCAATGCTTTTTGGACACGTTCAAGGTTTTTTACAAATTAATCACTCTATTGAGTTACCTTTATATTTTGAGATTTTTTTTTTTTTGAAAATGATTCAAGAAAATTTTTTTATATTACTTGTGATACTAAATAATATTTTTATATAAATTTTTTATATAATTTTTATATATTATTAAATAAATAAATATATTTAATATCATAAATTTCAAATCAATAAAAAAAATTAATTATTTAAGTAATATGTAAGATTATATCAAAAAGTAATATAATCTTTAAAGACCACAAAAGAGCAATTTTTTCAGTGAAGGGACTAAAAAAATTTTAAACCAAAGTAAAGGGACTAAAATAAAGATTTAGGGCCTGTTTGGTACAGCGGTTAAAATTCAGCGGATAGTGGATAGCAGGTAGCAGATAGCGGATAGCAGTAGCGGGTAGCGGGTGGCTGTTAGCGGATAGCGAATGGCGGATAGCGGAAAGTGGGTAGCGGATGGTAAATAACAGATTCGATAAATATAATTGTTTGACTATACAATGGTTAGCGGTTGTTATTTAATATTAAATGACGAATAATGACATATTTAAAAACAAATAAGTATATTTTT